ATTGATTGCAATGCAGTTTGTGCAAATCTGGAACAGAGATTAGCTGAAATAAAGCAAAAACCGTCTGGTTCCGAGTTAAGGTCCTTGCCCACTGAGTCCAAAATTTTCATATGCATTTTTTTGTATTCATCATCCTAAAAATTCGTCACACACAGAAACCTTGCACACTGAGTCCGATCCGAGAAAAAATTCGCAGAACAATACAAAATGGAGTCTTCAAGCAGTGAGAATGATTTTGTTGTCCTCTCTCTTCTTAAAAAGAGAAAAAGAAAGAGGAAATATTGGATCCATCATCCAATCCAAGGAGAGATCCACCTCCTTATGAAGGATCTCAGTGTTTCCCACAGGTTTGAAATGTACTTACTTATTACCTACGGCACAAAAATGGTCTACTACATGTGACAAATAACAAATAATATGTGATTTTTAACAATATTCTTATTTATTGAAATTAATTTTAATTACATAGGATACGATTACATTTAATTACGTACTCATATTATGCATTGCAAATTATGCAAAATTACAGCATAGTTCTCCTTGTTTTGTCATATAGTGTCTCTCTCAGTGAATGGGACAGATTTTACTGATACTACTAAAATCTATATATTGAATAATATGTGTCAAATCATTTTTGACACACAAATTTATTTTCTTCCTGTGGGGAAGCATCCCAGACAGAAACTACAATAGTTTACTATGAATTCAATGGAAATTATATTAAATACAATTTATTGTGTAACCAAAATTCCAATAATGCCCAGAAGAACGGAAAAAAAAAACACTTAAAATATGACTTTTAATTAAAAACAAGCCCGAAAAACACTGGGACTCTTATTAGGGATGGGCGATACCACTTAGTTTGTTTTCGATACTATACCGATACTTTTAAAGGCCAGTATCGTCGATATCGATATGATACTTCTAAACTGAACTTTTAAATTATGAAATTGATTAAATTATTAAATTACTAAGAGTAAAATGGGTAATGATACCCACTTAACGTTATATTTGAAACGCATTTTAACATCTAATACACCTTAATTGCAACTAGGTTATATTTTTATTTATACATGGTTAAAATATGTTTACTGTAGTGGTAACCATGGAAATCTACAAAAACTATAGTTGAACTACAGTCACTTTAATAAAACTTTAACTTTAAAAACGGACTGCCACTGAATGGCTGTTGCATACATAAAAGGCAAACTTTTTATTCTGGCAGCTATGATTTATATTAACATTACAGAATAGAACATAATCAATATGAACTTTTAACGTTCAATTTAAATAAATGTAATTGCACAAACTATGTAGGCTACAATTTCAATTTGTTTACTGTGAAATAACTCAAGCATATATGTTTTTTTCTGTCCTCTGGTAAGCTTTGTTCTGCCGTTCCCAAAAGCATCAATGGTTTCTTATGATACCTTTGGAAACGGAGCCCTGTTTGAATGTACTGTCAGAAGTGAGTGAACGTTCTCTGTGATTGATTAGTTCTATCTTGCAGCATTTGCGTGTGTTCAGATGAGCAGGAAAATAGATATATCCTACACAATTATTCGCTAACATAGGTTATTCATCCAATTCAATAAAAATTGTACGCATTACTTTTTTTGTTAAATAAACAAAATCACTGGTAAAAAACACATCTTAGTATTGATATTTTTTATTTGAGTATCGATACTTTCGATACTCGCATCGGTATCGATATATCGATACTACAGCATTGATATGCCCATTCCTAACTCTTATTTTGAAATGTCTACACTATTGAGGGCCGATCCTTCAGATGAGCAGTGTTGGGGGTAATGCATTACAAGTAACGCAAGTTACGTAATCAGATTACTTTCTTTAAGTAACTAGTAAAGTAACACATTACTTATTAATTTAGAAGGAAATATCTGAGTTACTTTTTCAAACAAGTAACTCCAGTTACTTTTTTCCCCCATGTATTGACTGAAAGCTCTTGTGTTGCCATATTGAGAGAAATCGGGAGTAGGTGCAGAGGCGTTGTGCGCTGTGTTAACGTGATGCATACTGTAGTTCTACACTAAATATGAACAGATTCAGTATTCCTCAAAATGAATAAAAACGGTCAAAATGCAAACTCAGAATATTATACAAACCTGCAATAATTAAATGTTAAATTAGACAAATATAATTTATGTATTTAATCCCATTTTATTAACCAATGTCTTTGCTGCTGACCTTCGATGATCCAATTCAACCTTACTAAGCAAAAATGACACATTTGTGTTTCATTTTTGTTATTGCTGAATAGTGTTGAACTTTCTTCTCCTGCGTCATATTCTTCATGCAATTTGTTTGAGCTGCGACCTCTACTGTACAGACGTGAATTTACATTTCCTTCAGCCTGAGGCTCATTCATTTCACTTTTGTTGTGAAAGGGCTTTTACATTTATAAAAGAATAACTTTTTATATTAAAAACAAACAAATAAGCCCAGGCCAGATTTAAAAAGTAACGCAAAAGTAACGGTTCATGGACTACATTTCCCATACACCTTGTACCTGGGACTGATTACTGGCACAGGTGTTTCCCCTTAGCTTCCCCATTGAAGCAGCTCCCAGACTCTCAGTGTTCGTGAAGTCTTGTATTGCCCCGGCTACATTTCTGAGCGTTTATCCCGTTTTGAGATCTCTTGTGTATTACCTTGGACTGTTACTACTAGTGTGATTCTCTGCCGCCTGCCCCGACCCTTGCTCTGCCTCTGTTTACTCTCCTGGATTATCCCTGCTGTTCGTGACGCTGTTGTTTGATTACTGCCTGTTTAACTCTGCCTTTGATTTAAATAAAAGCTGCAAATGGATCCGCACGCCTCTGACTCCTCGTTACAGTAACACATTACTTTCCATACAAAGTAACTAAGTAACGTAATTAGTTACTTTTTTAGGGAGTAACGCAATATTGTAATGCATTACTTTTAAAAGTAACTTTCCCCAACACTGCAGATGAGAGATAAAATATGCCTTCTTACAACCATCTAAAATATATTATATAAAGGCCATAAAGTAAACATTGTCATAATTCATCAACTCGAGTTCATAAGCAATCGCTTGGCATAAATGTGCGCTATTCATTGACTGAGAATCGCTTTGAAGCAGTCTGAAGCGCTCGTGCAACAGTGCCGCCTTGTGAGACTGCAACAAACGTGCAGCGCTCTTATTTTTTTATTTTTTAATGAAATCACAGCCTTTTGAAGTTTAATAATCAATAGCCTGTATCGCGATTTATGTTTTTCCATCCCCAAAATATAATACGTCTTAAAATGATCATTAAGACGTTTGTTTTACCATTTCATGCATTGAAGACTTTTTATGACATTTAAGAAAACTCACCCGGAGGGCTTTTGCTCTATTCGCACACGTGCTCCTAAATACATTTTACAGTTCGCACACATCTATTTTTAGTCGCAAATGAGCCTGAAGTGCCCGCACTGTCGAGCTCTGTCTTTGTCTCTGCAGCGCACGTGCGAATTTCAGCGGGAGGAAACAGTTCTCGAGCACAAAGAATGAGCAGTTATTGTCATATCCGTGTCCTCTTATGTCAGGTTCTTATTTAATCAAATTCAATCGAATAAAAAGACATGCTGGCTATTAACAATCAAATTAAATCACTATCAACAAAATTCATAGATGGATTGTGCATAAATGTTATATAACGTTTTAATGTAGAAATATTAAATGATTGCAAAAATGAAATAAGCTACTTTTTTAAATATGAAACTACAACCGCCAGTAGGTGCAGCAAGTGACTGCCTTAATGAGTGAGTTGAATCAACCGATTAGTTTAAAAAGCTGATTCATTTAATGGAAGAATTGACAATAAAGCAGACTTGAACTTGAACTTGAATAATTTAGTGGAACATTAGTATAGTAATATAGAATCATCCTCTGTAAAGAAATGTGTGAACATTTGAGAATTTATCATTATCTTTCTAAATGTGCGAACAAGGCGGGGCCCATGGGCTGCAGCCCACTCAAGCCCAATGGTAATTCCGGCCATGCTTATGTATGTCACTGGTGTTACATTGTGTCGCTGGTGTTACTGTGTGTTTTTTCTGTCACATTCTATAAAATGTGTCACATGTGACATGATGATAATTTGACATCTATTGAATTCTCCTACACTCAAGAGTTAAGATTTAAAGGATTGTATCATTACTTGTTTATAACTGTTTTTCTAATATTTTCATTGTTATAGCAAATTACTACTATTTACACTACAATGAAATTAGTGTTTCATTGTTTTCTTCAGGATGTCAGTGGCTCAGTTTGATGCTTTGCTAGTGATACTGGAGCCACATATTAAAAAGAAGACCACCAATTTCCGTGAACTCAGTGTTTAAGGACCCATACAGTGCTTTGTGCTGCGAGAATCAACTTGCCAGGCGCCTCCTAACCTCTCAAAATGCTTGCTACGGATGCGAAAAACGCAGATAACCAGATCTGAATTTTCTTATGACGGACGAAAGTTTCGGAAGCAGTGTGTAAACTTGATTGACAGAACGTGAGGTCGTATTTATTTTTTAATGTGCGTAAATTTTGGATGAAAATGTCGGACTCGGTGCGCAAGGACCTTTAGTTCAATGTAGTGAGAGCGGGTGATTGACGGCTAGTATTAACCAATCTAAAATCTGCATTAAAGTTAAGAATGCAAAGATGTAGTTTAATTGTTTATGTAACGGTGGACCTGTACTGTATCAGCTCACAGGAGATACATACTGTGCAGTAGTAGCGAACGTTTTGTAGAGAACTGAAAACGGGTTGTACCACAACAATTATTTGCATTCGCACATATTTACACATTAAGAAATTTGCTAAAAGCAGTTGAAAATGAGAGGAAGTTTCTTTATTTTATAATCCTAGGCATATTTAAGGATCAATTTAAGACTGATGATTGCCAAGAACATTCTGATTTCTGTGAAACATAAATTTATTTATATTCTAAGAAGTGAAAAAATGTGGATTCAAATCTACTATGTGGCATTTAGCTAATTGTGTTTCGTTGACAGTATTGTTGGAAGCCTTGCTGAGGAATGGTACTTCGACAGGGAACAGCACTACATTTTGTAGGAATGCATCAAATGGAACTGACCCCGGATCCCAAACCCGGCATGAGACACAGAAACAGGACTCAGCAGCTGCAGACTTAACAAAAGGATTTACCAAGGAGCAAGCTGAAGGGGTACAGAGGCAAGTGATCTTGTGTATAAATTATTAGTGCCCAAGCACTGAAAGTACGATGGTACCTAATAATTTCCCAAGGATTGTTGTTTTTGTTTTTTCAAGGATTTGGGGCATTAGGGACCTTTAACATGCTTAAAAACTGCTTAAAGTAGGGGTGTTCTGCAGCACCTAATTTTACACGGTCCCTAAACTGGGAGCATATATAGTACATACGTATACATGGATCAAAGACGAGACGTCCCATTTTGGTGTCTGCATCAAATTAAATTTACAAAAGGGATTTAATATACATAAAAAGTATATTAAATGCAAGTGTCTACTTTAATGTTTCAAATAACTTTTGTGAAAATAAAATGTCAAAATATGGGTAAAATAATGTTCCTATTATCATTCAGTGTAAGAAATATATTTATGTAAAAAATGAAACATTTATTCAGATCTGTACTTATTAAAATATATGAAAAAAAGTGGTCATACTAAATGGTTTTACATTTTAAATGATTAAAAACAACTTGCTGACAAACAGGCCCGGATTAAGAACACATACGCCCTTGGCTATAGCAAACCCTAGGGCCCCCCTTCATAGTAGCGTATCTTGGTGCCACAACGTTTTCTACATCAGGAATAATTCTGGGTTTTTTGGGGGGGTTTTTTTAATCAAAAATCTCCAACACACAGAGCTACAATGAGTATGCACTAAATATTCCAGGCTACAATACATTAAAAGAATAAATACATTAACACTAGATATGAAGTCAAAGCAAACAGGTTTCCAGAAGCAGCAACAACTTTTAAGCATATACAGCTCCCTTAAAGAGTTGAGTTTAAATAGTTTTATTATTTGAAGGTCCTCTTTCTCGCCCTAGAAGAGGAGAATCATCAGGGCTGGACTGGTGCTAAAATTCAGCCCATCTGGCCCACACAGTCCCCCTCCCCATAAATGTTTTGCTGGGGTTAGGGCAATTTGAATAAATAAATTATTTATTAATAAATAACCGACAAAAACAAAATCTATTTTGAATACAGTTTACATGGTGCTATTCAGTCTGGTTTCCACTAGCTTCACCACAGAGACTTTACTGTTCAAATATAAGTGTCGTGTGTGTCGAATTCAAATGGGCAAGCGCTGCTTATATTATCACTTCAATAGAGCGGCGAAAGTGTCGAGCTAGAGTCGCAGGCGCGAGAAACCAGTGCGGTGTGGTCCAGCTGTTCTCTTGCGCTGCACGGTTTAATCAGGTAACGTAGTGACGTTTCATTCACTTGGCTTTTAGTGTTTGTTTCCCATGCGCTACAGTAAAGCCGAGGCGATTAAAACATACCCGCAACTCTACACTGTAAAAAATGTTCACCCCTTTCAACTTAAAACTTACGTTTTGTGGCTTCGTGTTTTTTGTCTTGTGAATCGCAGTGTTTTTGTACGTATTCGTCGCGTCTATCTGTCTCTAAGCGCGCATACAGTCGTGAGTTTCTGCTCGATGTCGGCAGAAC